GACCTAAAATTGACCAGCTACCCCACAACACCTTGTTAGTGTCATTTAATCCTCTGCGACACCAATGCTGCGCTGGAGTAAAAACAAACTTTACTGCTTTGTTTTTGTCTGTAAATTTAGGATGAGCATGTTCGTCCCACCATTCAAGTTCAACCACATTTTCACATCCACAGTCTGTCGTCCATTTAAGAAGTCCCATTGGCACAAACCAATGAATTTTATCCCCAAACCTCTTGTTAAGGTCACAGACTGTATTGTAGTCAAGGTGATCAAAGTGGTTGTGACTGATACAAACAGCGTCAATATCAGGAAGTTCATCCACAGTGCAAGGGACAGGACGATATCGTTTGACCCCAAACATCCTCACAGCACCACAGTAATCACTAAGAACAGGATCTGTTAGAATGTTAATTCCTTCCATTTGAACCAAGACTGTTGCATGGCCAATCCAGGTTACTTGAATGCTATTGGCTGCAGGAGAATCTAAGGTCCTTTTGTCTGGCTTAAGAACAGGAAGCACCTTGTCTAGTTCCTAAAAATAGTCAATAATTTTAATCAGTACTATTTTAAACAAAGACTGGGTGTGACAGAAATCAGCTTTTAGCCCTGGAGGGGGAGGGGTACTCCCGTATGAAAAGGTCGGGAATGGTAGCTGTCTACTGAGGGGAATAAATCAAGGATTCTGGTCTGAATAAGGGTGTTCATGACAAAACACCACTATTTTTAGCTGAAAAAGTATCTTTAAGGGTGCATTCAAAGGCAAAACAAATAAAAAACCTTCTAATTTCCATTTTAAGGCTCGGTTTTCATCACTCTCTCAAGTCCAGTCTATTAGTGGTGGCTCCTTTCCCAAACAGCTGCTGTCAATCAATTTAATTCTGTTTTAAGTGGTATCTTTTAAGGGTCAAGTAAAACTTGAGCCACACCCAGATTGGTCTCCTTTAGGAGCTTGATTCAAATTTTCTGACAAGCATCTGCGACCTTTTCACAAGGGANCCTCCCCAGGGCTTTCAGCCCTAGGTGTCACTGCTAACCTGTTCTACTCCTGACACTCCTTGAAGCTTGGTCTAAATCTCATTATGGATGATTATACACTGTATATTTGGCATTTTTAAAATGCTTAGTAGTCCTTATGTGACCTAGGAGATAAGACATTGAAACATTTATCCTCAAACTAACTCCCAACACTAGCCTAACAGTTAACCTCTAATCATGACCGAACCCTCACAACTTGCCTAAAACTAAATTAATCTCCAGTTGTTTGAGGTTAGGCAATACCTATAGGGTCTATTAAATAAGCGTAGGTCTCACACTGTCTAACATGTAAGGGTCAATTTTTCAACTCGAGTCATTTTTGNTACTATTATTATTATTATTATTATTATTATTATTATTATTATTATTATTATTATTGTTTTAAGTGGTATCTTTTAGGGGTCAAGTAAAACTCGAGCCATATCCAGATTGGTCTCCTTTAGGGGCTTGATTCAAATTTTTTGACGAGCATCCACAACCTTTTCACGAGGGAGTCCCCCCAGGACATTAAGACCTGGGGGGCGAAGTGTCACTGCTAACCTGTTCTACTCCTGACACTCCTGGAAGCTTGGTCTAAATCTCTTTATGGATGATTACACACTGTATATTTGGCATTTTAAAAATGCTTAGCAGTCCTTACATGACCTAGGAGATAAGACATTAAAACATTTATGCTCAAACTAACTCCCAACACTAGCCTAACAGTTAACCTCTAATCATGACCACACCCTCACAACTTGCCTAACACTAAATTAATCTCCAGTTGTTTGAGGTTAGGCAATACCTATAGGGTCTATTAAATAAGCGTAGGTCTCACACTGTCTAACATGTAAGGGTCAATTTTTCAACTCGAGTCATTTTTGTGGTCTTCTGGTCTGTGCATCCAAACCAAACTTGTTGCTTTGTGGGTGAATTATATCAACAACGAGCAAGTTCACATGTAAAAACAAGAGTCTATCAAGCAGGCTGCAATAAATGTTGGAAGGTTAAAGCCCAGGTTGGGGGGGGGGGNGTGCCATTTACAGCATGCAACTTCTTATATAACTAGCTGTAGTCCAGAAATGGTTTGACACAATTTGCACCAAAATTGCCTACAACCTGGGAGGGGGGGACTGCTATTTTAAAAGGACGGGGGTGCTCGTTGTATCTTTCAGGGTTTAAAAAAGCAGTTTTGGTACCTCCTAGGGTGTTGAACCTCAAAAGGTCCACAACTGGAGCTTTTGCAGTACCTTGTAGGGTATTGAGCCCAAAAAATATGACAGGAGATAATGTGTTTTGTCAGTAGAATTGGTACCTCTGAGGGGAGAAAAAAATTTCAAGCCACACCCACAAAACAGGATCTCTTAGGGGTTCTTTTCAGAATTTCGGACGAGCACCCCCGTCCTTTTTATACGGGAATCCCCCCCCCCTGGGGTTAAAGCTCTTAACGACAGCCCTACACAAGGAGCATAATATTTAAGAGCTTGGGATGGGGTTGATTTGTCACTGATTCCAAACATCGGTTGTTTTCTCTTCAGTATTAAAATATCCAACACTTGAGTTGAGTCATGAAATCAATGTTAACCTTAGTATCATATTGAAAGAAATTCCTCAGTCTTCCTCTGGGCAAACCACTATTGTTTGTTGAGATCAAGAACCATTTAGCAGCAACAAGTGCTGAAGGAAGTTGAGATTTACCCCACGGAAGAGCAAATCTCCCATTAACTTTCCTAGCCTTGGGGTACTGTTTGTTTTCATCAGCAAACACTGTATCTTTGTGGTAGGTTGATGACGCTCTTGTCTGTTGCCTGTAGAAGCAAGATAATCTGTGAGTTTATTGGACATATACCCTAGGGGAGAAACTCCAATATAAAAAGGAAGGGGGTGCTCGTCGGAAAACTGCAATTTGATAATTTTTCAGAGTTCCCTCTACTCCCCTTTACCGGTATCTCCATTCCTCTGCCCCCACCTCTCCCCTTGCTATGGGTACTAACTATTAAACTAACGACGATGATATGATTGAATACTAGTGAAACTAATTAGTTACGTAATTGGAAAATACCAATGGGTTAAGAAATTATAAGCTTAAGCTTACATAGAAACCCACCACGTGCAGTAATTGACATGCAGTGTAACTTAAGTCATTTATGCAAAGCAAAAAATTTTTGTATATCGAACAAAATCAAATTTCTATCAAAGCCCAGTGTGACGTGCAATTAATACCCAAGGGAGTTTTGTCGACTTCAGCTAATGAAAGGGCATTTGGATATATACAAACTGGCAGAGGGTAATCTGAACCCCAACTAACAAATCTCTAACAGTCTGCAGCTGCAGCAGTTTGCCGCCGGAGAAGATTGAAGTTCAGCTTACGTTTGTTGGAAAGAGAGTCGCCGCGAGCTTTGGAAGACAGCGAAACCGAGCCAGTCTGTCTTCTGAAGGCATGAAGAACCCCGTCGATACAGCTGTCTTAACATAATATGGCCAGTTTACAAATAAAGTTGATCATCTAGCTATTTATTGCGGTCAAATTTACGGCGCGCTTTCGGTGCATTGGTGGCGCACGAGAGCGCCCTGGGAACGAGGATGATTTCACTAGTTCCAGGGCTCACGACGGGGAGTTTAAATGGAGTTTTGGGAGATTCAAAGAGGGATTAAAAACGAAAAAACAAACAAAAAAACAAAAAAAAGTTTTGGAACACCACGAGACAGTTGAACGCTCCCCGAAAGGGCACCCCAGGTTGGTGGACAACTGTTTGTTGTACGTCTACCAATTTTTAACTTCAAATTCAAATTTTAAAACAACATCAAATCTCAAAATTTCACCGTTTCTTGAGGATTGCAATAATCTTTACCACTCAAATTTTACTTGACCCATGTGTGGGTATAGGGTTGTCTCTGAGGGTTTGAAACCCTGACCCTGTTTAGGACAAAGAAAACCTAAACTTACAGTACCTACTCTGAGTAGGACAACACCCACTTATATATGACCATGGCCTGTACAGCAAAGGTTCAGCTGGGATCAGAGGATACCAACCACTCTACAAGTGTTATCTGGACTTGAAAATTATTTGACATTGACTGATGACCATCTAAAGGCAGGCAAATGTCTCTGACCTTAGGTTGCTGGATATTATTTGCACCACATTTCATGGCAATTTGTGAAACCCACCCTGTTTTGGACAGGTTCAGACCTGGTTTAGGACAGTCTCACATAATATTATTTACCTTGTACAGGGCAGCAAGTCCAAAAATTATTTCTCTATCAGGTGAGGCATCCCCACATATGCCATATAACATATAAGTGAATTACC